TGGGCTATGAAGCATCGAAAAGCTTTACCAGAGGTGCCAGTCTTCCGCCATGTCCTCCCCCTCCCGACTGAATTCCAGCGAGCTACAAAACCAGGTGTTTAATACACTTGAGTCATGTGGCTTTAAGTCTGCCGCCTGACCACGTACCAAATTCATGAACACCAGAGTTTCGGCAAATTTTTGGTCGCGACCATAAATTCAATCTTTTCCTGACTTGGTGACCGCAAGGTGCCACATACGTAGTTATGCAACCGCCTGTTATTTTATATATACTTGGCTTATAAAGCCAACTTTATCGAAATAACTTAAACAGTTACAATAGAATAAATTTTTATAAATATTTCAGACATAAAACGTAAAGTACAACTTAGGGGAATTTTTTTCCGAGACCTTCCGGCGACCTTCATTTGGTTCGCCAACCACAGTTTTAGGAATTACAGTTCTATATGGAAGCCTGTCACTGCAGTGACCGCCCGGGGGCCAACACCAAAAGTGGAAAGACAACCTTCAGGCAGACTTATAATCGCTTTGTGGTATTACTATTACATAACTGTAGTATTTGAATAAAATCACGTTAGCACGCATTTCGTTAAGCGGATATCATAAGTTTAAGCACTGTCTCCACTGGCGCACAGTCTAAATGACGATGACACACATGGTTCTGCGAAGTGTTCGTTCGGTACTCGTCTGACATTTTGAAGTCGTGCCAAAATCACCACAATTGCGATCTCTCGACCTAAACAAGCAGCGGTTCAAAATCGAGAAATTGAGAACTGCCATTCCGAAATATGTCCTCTTGCCACAATCCCTCGAAGAAACCTCAATTCAACAGATAGTTTTATTTGAGTAATATTCAGCATTCATATGCACAGATGAAAGTAGGTGCGCAGATAGACTTAGTGCAAACAATTATAATAATCAGTAAGTATAAATTAATAATTCGCATTACTACTGAGCACCTCTTTTTTCGTTACAGACTGGTTAAAAAGGGAAGGTTAAAAATGGTAAAAACTGGGATGCTGGTCTTTCTTTCTCTTCCATGATCGGCTTATGCGGCTCTCCGCTTCAAGGAATCAAGTAAGGCAGGGATATCGTGTTTTAAATGATATGTATGCAGTTATATGGTA